GGGACCCGGACCGGGAAACCGGGAAATTAAAAAAAATTTTAAATTCATTTAAAAATTTTAAAAAGTTATGGGAGTAGTTATTTATTGAAAAATCTGATTTATAAATAGAAGAATTTAATAAATCAGTAAAATAAATCAATAAAAGAAATGTAAATTACAATAAATTAAAACATATAGCGGATTACGTAGGGCTAAAGGGATTTGAGAGGCTAGAGAATAATTGTGGGATATTAGGAGATTTTGGAGTTTAAGATCTCCAGATAGCCTCCTCAAATTTTTTATATCGCCTATATGTATTCCTCATCTAATTCCCTTTAATCCCTCCTAATCCACCTTGATGATGATTTAATTTTTATTTAATTTAAATTTAATCCTTCCAAATCCACTCTGATCTTCTCTGTACAATAGTGATATCAGGGATTAAAAGAGATATCGAGAGATTCAAGTATTTGTTGGGTAGCATTAAGAGAGATTGTGGAGAAAGACCTCCAACCACCTATATCACCTTATATCTATTCAAATCCCTTCAATTGGAAGGCAATGATATCAGATGATTAAGGCGGATCTAATGGATTTAGAGGGATAAAGATGGCTTAATCACCAGGTCCCTTGATAAAATCGCACTATACACTAATATCCCTCAACTTTCCCTTCAATAATACCTCTAAATTTTTCTTCCAAATTCTTCCGCGAAAATTTTGAGAATTTTGGAAGGCCAAACAGCCAAATTTCTTCCGTTTTCAGCGCCGCAGGCGAAAATTTTGAGAATTTTTGTAAAATCTCCAATATTTTTAAGTCAAAAATCAAAACGCCAAGCAAAAATATTTAAAATTAGCTGCTAGAATTTTTCCCGGTTTCCCGGTCCAAAAAAAGCTGGGATCGGGAAACGGGAAATGAAAATTAACCGGCCGGGACCCGGACCGGGAAAACCGGGAATTCCCGATCCCGGTTTCATCCCGGCATCTTCAAAAAAGCCGGGAAAAAGGACCGGGAAACCGGGAAACGGGACCGGGTCCCGATCCCGTTCCGATCTCTAGTAATCACTATAGTGTTAATTCGGAACCAAACCGCAAAACCAATGATTCTTCTGGTTCGGTTCTTATCTTCAGTTTCGAATATTCGAAAATTCTCTATGAATCCTAGTAAGAACGGTTCAATCTCTGCCCTTCTTGTCACAACATAATCAGAGTATTTTTCTAAAAACTATTCAGCCTCGAAAAATCCAAATTTTCTCAAGTTCATAAGGAAATTGAATAAAAAATTTTCAGAATTATCCAATATACCTCCTAGAATATTGCTTAAATTTCAACGAATTTAAGTTAAATTCCTGAATAAAATTCAAAAAAATATTTTCATGTAAATAAAATTTCCCGGTGCCATAATGGGCCATAATATTTTAAATAAAGGATTGTTGGAAGATGAGTAAGCACTGATACTAGCTTGGGAGAAACTCAAAGAAAAGTAGGAAAAAAATATTTTTTTGAGGAAAAGCAAAAAAGTATTTTCCCTTCCCCTTTTCTGCCCCTTTACATTGCCATTTCAATAACTCGGTAACAGATATAAGAAATATATATTTTGGCATTTTTACGTTTTTGACAAATGATGGGAGCTTTGAGATAAGAAATGAAAGTGGAAAAGGATTTTATATTTTAAACAATAAAAGTAAAATATTAAATGGTTATTTCTGGCAAAAATATTCGTATAATTATGGCAAAAATATTTTCGAGGGTATTAAATGCTTAAAATTGAAAGTAAATATTAAAAAGGCAGTTAAAATTTTTGGGCAAAAAATTAAAAATCTGTCATATATGAACGAAATCATAAATTACATATAAAAATAATTTTTTAGCTTAAAAATTTTATAGATGTAGAAGATAAAAATCTTAAATTTAAAATTAAGAGTTCGTGGGGATATTAGAAAAGTGTCGGATAAAAAAAAGTTGGGTCGGTATAGTGATGAGCTTTTAAGATTTTCTTTTACTTGGAGTTCGAATTAAAATTTTTTAGGTCTGGTTTCAGAATTTTGAGTACTGATTTTCGAAGATATTTCTGCTTCGAAACAGCTCTGCTCGAGTATAGTATTTTATGATAACATGAACCATCCTTCTTGGGCAGATTAAAATTATTTTTTTAGGTTTTATCCAAAAATATTTTCTCCAAAACTTTGCAATTTTCTTTCCAAACACAAAATTTATTTAAAGCACAAAGTTTAACAAAAAATTTGTGCAAAAGCTACATATTTAATCGTCATTTAAAGAGACTACTTAAAGGAAAATATTTTCTAAATTTGAAAAAAAAAGTAATTGAGGTGCCAAAACAAAAATTCTAAAGTGTCTAGAAGTGTTTAGAAGGCAAGGCTTTTAAATAGAAAATGACGAAATTTGAAGAGAATGAAAATATTGGTAAAGGGAATGTGTCAATTGCTTACTCAAAAATAATAATAAAAAATAAAAACAATTTAGGAAAGGACCTAAAAAAATTTTTTGAAAATTTTAAAAAGAAATTGTGTTTGAAAATATGTCACTGAACTGATACCTTGATATTGGATCCAGAAACGGATCCTGAGCAGGTCTAGGCGAAATATGAAAATTTTTATTCCGTTCCGAGACCAAATGGAAAAGGTCACAAAAAAGGTCAAATTTCGCCTAACTATGATCCAAAACCAAAGTTTTTCGGAACCGCTCCATGATGCAGATTACCGTATTTTCTCTGATTTTTCATTATCTCTATTTCTTTATTTTTCAACCCCCTCCTGAGGAGCCGCTCTATTGGATGCCGTTGTTCAACTAGAGGCCGACGCTCTATTTTTCATAGCAAAATTTTTTGCAAATTGAAAGTTTGAAAAATTTGCAGATTTCTAATTGTTTCTGCCCATAAATTTCCCAAAAAATTTTTCTTAAATTTTGTTTTGCCAATTTCCTCATTTTATAAAAATATTTATAATAAAATTATGCATAAAATTTTCTTCCAACATTTTTCTAAGAATTTAGTTTAGTAGCTTATGTATTTAATAATAAATAAGAGTTTAGGGAATGAAAAATGGTGCTTATTGGAATATATAAAGTAATTTCCTATTTCCTCTCTTAAAAAATAAAAAAGGAAAGAAAATGTGCGCAGAGTAAAAAAATAAATATAAAAAAAATGCCAAAAGAATTTTTTTACTAATCCAATTTGTGTCAAGAGGAAAATGTTAAAATTGGAATAGTTTCAAGTTAAATAAGGCATGGAAAGGAGTGAGAAAAGGGAGTCGAATTTAAACGAGAAAATGTTGCAGAAATGTGAATTTTTTATAAATAGAACAATTAATTTTTTGAAAAATTAAAAGAAAATTTAATAAATATAAGAGTAGAGTTGATAAAAATTAAAAAATAAAATTCATTAAATTTGAATAGGCTGGGAAAGATATGATCGTAAAGCTTGTAGTATAATATTCCAGATTCAAGTTAATTTCCAGAATTTTATAAAGAAAGATTTAGGGATAGAATAAATAATAAATACAAATCGAGTAATGTAAATATTTCTTACAAAATATTTTTAAAATTTTTTTGCCGAGAAAATTTTAACAAAAAATTTTCTAAAAAAATATGAATATGGCATTATCTCCCACGATTTTTAAATTTTTTATTCCCTTATTTTGAAAAATTACAAATAGTCAATGAATTATGCGCGAGGGAGTTCAACCTAATTCTGCACAAAATGCATATGTAAAGCCCAAGGTGTAAGATCCTTAAATGTGATTTGACTTATCACCAATTTTAAGAATAAGAAATCGCCATCAGTATTTCGGAGGCCAAATTTCTGATCAGACTTTATATAAATTTAATCACTGGAATTTATGCACAATTGATCGTTAGTAAAATAGGAATTCATAAAAGAAAATAATGAAAATGAGGGAGGGATAATTCTATAGAACCAAAAAAATTTGAAAAAAAATGAAAAGAATTTTCGCTTAAAATTGTGAATTTTTAAATATTTTTCAAAAATACCTACAGTGGCGGAAATTTACTTAGGGAAAGGGTAAACTCCATGTAATTCCGTTCATCTTTATCCGATCTGGCAGATCTAAATTTTAAAAAATAGCTTAATTCCTATCTCAGTTGACATGTTTCAGCGTTTTTCAAAATTCTGATAATTTCGAAAACTTTTCGACCGGTCTAACAGGTACTACATTTTCGACTTTTCGGAGAAATTTTTTTGAAGTCTGTAAATTTTATATGTGATTCTCCTAAAGATTCTGAATACAATGCTAAAAACCGCATCCAAATCGGTCGAAATTCTACAGAGTTATGAATTTTTGAAAATCGAAAAAACACCCATTTTTTGCAAAAAAGTCGACAAAAATGGCAAAAATGGGTGTTTTTTCGATTTTCAAAAATTCATAACTCTGTAGAATTTCGACCGATTTGGATGCGGTTTTTAGCATTGTATTCAGAATCTTTAGGAGAATCACATATAAAATTTACAGACTTCAAAAAAATTTCTCCGAAAAGTCGAAAATGTAGTACCTGTTAGACCGGTCGAAAAGTTTTCGAAATTATCAGAATTTTGAAAAACGCTGAAACATGTCAACTGAGATAGGAATTAAGCTATTTTTTAAAATTTAGATCTGCCAGATCGGATAAAGATGAACGGAATTACATGGAGTTTACCCTTTCCCTAAGTAAATTTCCGCCACTGTAATTCTAATTAATATTATTTTCGAAAATTCACCTTTTTGTCTTTTCATAACACGTATAGGCATTAATAAATCATGCCCATTTAAAGAAAGTATCCTTAAATCGCCGTGGAAACGAAACAAATGCTCTAAATTATCTAAAATAAGAGGAAATAATTTTAATAAAAAAATATTTTTCTACAAAAAATTTAAAAATTTACTGGCTATCTTAGCAGTTCCAATAGGTTGGGCAATAGCTATTTCATTGATAGAGATAATTAAGGGTTTGTTTCCAATATTATTTAGTGATTCTGTGAGTAATTAATTAAAATTATTTATTTAATTTTTAATAAAAACACTTACGATTATGCCATTTTCCATCCAATTTTAACCCCATTCGTTGCCCCCTTCTTATTAGCTTGAGCGAATGCCAATGTACATTATTTGTAATGTTTGCAGAGCTCAGATTAAAAGTCTATAATTTAATAATTAATCAAATTGAGATCATCCAAAATTTGTGAGTTAAAACAGCCCTTTCCAACAAGTCAAACAGTCTAAAATAAACAATGCTGTGGATCAGAGATGGGACGGATAACCCGAAAACTCGCACCGGAAAAGCTGACTTTTTTCGACTCGAAACCCGATCCAAAGAAAATTTTAAACACCCGACTCGAACTTTTTTTCAACCGTCCCATCCTTGCTGTGTATGGCTCCATTAGCTAGCTTCGGAGGTGGCTCTGGACCCGGACGGATCAGAAAATAAGAATGGAAAGGATGGAACTAATACCCAGAATCATCATGAACCGTGTTTTCTTTCTCCAAATACCAAATCCCTTCTCGATCAGATTATATGTAACATTTTATCATTAAGTTATTTTTTAATAAAATCAACCAACACTTTGCTCATTTCCTTGAAATACCCAATGTACAATTATTCCTCCACTCCCAGTAATTGCTACCAATAAACGTTGCTTATCTTGATCGTTTTCGTTAATAATATCAGATCTTGTGTCAATTAAAACAAAAAGTTTTTTCTGTTTATTTAATTCATTTAAGGTTATTCCCAGCTTTGGACGAAATTTAATTTCCAAATTTTCTGCCTCCAATTGCCAAGTATCAGAAAAATGAAATTTGGCTGAGAGAGATTCTGGTAGAGGAAAATTTTTAAAAATTTTTTGAATAATTTCTTCAAAACTTTGTTGGCAATTAATTCCATCAAAATGAGTGTCAGAACAATCACAGTGAAATGAATTGTGATATGATAAACAAATACCTCCATTTTTACACGGATTCTTGTTGCCAGGCTTTTTACAAAAATCAACAGAAAAAGAGAAGGGGCAACCAAGTGACATTGCTTAAAAATAATGTTAAAACAAAATTTTATATAATGAAGAAAGGGAGATTAATCCATAACGTTTTACTCAAATCTTACAATCTTTCAAGCTTTACTTATTTTTTCGATTAGTTATGAGATTTTACGAGATATTTAGGATTTTCACGGATGTGATTTAATAGGATCCAGTCCAGGGATTCGGGGATTCCATACGGAATTACGGATTCTAGTTCAGTGATTCCAGGATTTAAGAGATTAATCCCGCGGGATACCTCGCGTCCAATCCTAAAAATTACTCGATCCCAAGTAAGCGTTCGATCTCCCTCGATTAATGACCCACCCTGCCGTTAGGCTAAAACAATAATTACACAGTGTTAGTATTCAAGGAAATTCGGTATTTTATTTGTGGGGAATAAATATTTTAATAATTACATTTATTTATTTTTGATGAAAGACTTCTTTCAGTTGGTCGTTCCGTTGGCAATAATTTTGTTGAATGAAACTTATGTGCAATCTCGATATTTATACCATTTAACCGAATATTTTTCATACAACCAAGAAAGCCTTGACGAAGATTTATTGTCCAGACCTTTAAAATTTATAAAAATAAAGCTTTGAATTCACTACTGTTGTGGAAGTGTTGGGGTTATGTAAGAAGCTCGGGTCAGAGTTAAAGTCACAGTCTGGAACGCACTAATTAATAGAGCAGACCAGTGATTTTGAGCTTATTTTGGACCCTGAAAATTATTAATCTTGGCTCTGGCTCCGGACGACCGATTCCGGATCCAGGCAAGCTCCTTGAACCATAGCCAGCGCCGGCGTCACATTATAAGAAAATGAAAAATTATTTACAGATGAAGGAAAATTTCTTTTCATTTCAGCAGGCTCTCCCATTTCAATGACTGTTACAGCTTCAACTTGATGATCATTTTCATTTTCTTGATTAAAACAAAACAAATCAGGCCATGGGACAGCTCCAAGGAAAATTGGTTCATCTATATAAATTCAAATAAATTATGATAATATTCATATCTTACCAATATCTAAATTTGCCGAGATTCCGGGACAGGAGAATTCAGTTCGGAATGAATCAACTGAGATGAACCCTTTAAAAATTTTAACGCAAAAGTTATCCAAATTCTTTTAAAATATACAATCCACCTTTACGTCCACCCCTTTCCATAACAACGCTATGCCATAAGCCATCGTTCAGTGATTTTGCAGAGGCCTTGAAAATTTGTTAAGAATGTTAAAGTTTAATTAGATTTTCTTTTCAACATTACCTGAAGTCGAATATCACCAGATCCAAGATTGACTATCATCTTAAAACTGTCTTAAATAAATTATTTTAAATTTTATCTCACAAATAAATGCCCATCAATTAATTCAAAAGCCAAATAATCACAAATTGTAAAATTCCTGCATTGTGCCATTCCATGATATAAAAGTAATCCATCAGGGGTTAATGTTCGGAATTGGAAGGCTTAAAGCAATTGTTATTTACAGTAAGAGATACTGTATAGGCTACAAAATTAGATTTGAATCTCCCCTAAAATCTCGGTGACTATTCACTCTCTCCTCAATCTCAATCTCTCTCAATCTCAATCTCTCTCAATCTCTCCTCAATCTCGGTATCTCTCTCAATCTCGGTATCTTAATTTTATTCCTCTCTGAAATATTGTCTCTCACTCACTATCGCACTCAATATGATCTCTCTCTTATCTTTTGCTGAAAGCCCGGTTATCGGAATAGAATTTTTCATGAACCTAGTACGATTCACAAACGACATTGATCTCCATTTGTAAAATAATATAAGGGAACCTAAAGCAATTGAAAAAATCTTTTTTCATTATCAGATACGTTTAATTTTGCATTATGAATTTTTAAAAACAAAATTTCTCCAAAAATCAAACCTAAAGTTCCACGGGACGGAGAACGCCAAGGAGGTAATTTAGTATAATTATTTCCATTATTAAAAGAGAAAACCAGAGGAGCATTTTGAGCACTTGGCATACAAGAGAATGTAAGATCACCAAAAGTTTGAACTTTAATATATTTTTTATTTGAATTTTATTGGAGATATTATTTGTTATTTATCACTTTTATTATACTTTATTAATAAAATTTTTACTAAATTAATATAATTTTTATTCAAAAAACAAACCATTAGATTGGCCGAATCCTTGATCTGCCAATTGAATTAAATTTAGTTCGACAGGACCCGATTGGAAAAATATCTAAAAGCTTCGTTAAATATTAAGTTACTTTTAATGATAATTTGGAGAATTAAAAATAATGATTATAAGGTATGTGGGATTGGTATAAACAGGCATTAGCGATTAGTCTTGATCGAGATCTGAATTACATCCGCTTCCTATAGTTAAGCATAAACACCTAATTCCATAATTATTATTCTTGTATTAACTCTTGTGATAAGAATATTATTCTATTCTTGTGTTATTCTGTTAGCAAAGGGCTAGTTTGCATTCTTTGCAGCGCTGCAGACATTTCCGGATTGCGAGTTGCAAATTGCGTAAATTGCCCTGATTCTATGACATAACAATTATTCAGGAGAACCTCGGTTTTGTATTCAACATTGGGGATTAAAAATTGTAGTAAAATTAAATGTATGAGAGCCAGTATATCTTTTTCTAGCACTAAATTCTTTATAAAAACACCTTTTTTAGGCATCCACGGAAGGGTAATAAATGTTCTGGTGGCAAAAATAACAAAAATATGTCTAGCGAAATAAACAAAAAACCAAAATTAATTAAAATTTCTTTTAAAAACTCTATTTCGCGTGACAAATTTTTGTATTCTTTTAGAAACACTTTGCGTAAAATACATTCCCTTCCCCAAAATCTTACTGTTCGAAGGGATATGATCCCGGCCGAATTAGCAATATTATATTCACAACGGTCTAAAGCATATTCACTTAATGCTTCATGCAAACTTTTTAAATATTATGTAGTTGACCTACAAATAAGGGAGTTACGCGAACCTAAACCTCTCAATACTAAATAGGATAAATTGAGTAAACCCCGAAAGTCAAAAAATTCTAACATTGATATAGATATAAAAAATTTAACATGCCTTTGCTTTAACAGCAGATCACTAAATAATAAAGTGCCTGATTTGCAACATTTTCTTGAAATACATAACCCTAGCATTTGTATGATTACCGAAAGCTGGCTTACTCAATCTAATTGTATAAAAACAGATTTTTCAATGGGTGATAAATATCAGTGTTACTTTGCAAATCGTCCAAATAAAAGGGGAGGTGGCTGTTGTCTTTTAATTTTATCAACTATACCTGTCAAACTTTTGTTCTGTGGGACAAAATTTGGTTGCGAAATTATTATTATTGAGATTCTAATTACCAAACCTACTATTGTTATTACTTTATATAGACCCCCATCACTTAATCAATCTAGTACTAATAAAATACTTAAATATATTGCTGACTTAAACCATAAAAACTTAATAATAGCTGGTGATTTTAATATTAACACAATAAACTGGTTAACAAACTCTTGTTCAAACGATAATACTACACAAATATTTATTGAATTTGTTAATCGCACCCAAATTAAACAACATGTTACATCACCTACTCGCGGCGATAATATCTTAGATCTTGTATTTTCGAGACCCCATGACTTAGTTAGAAATTTAGAGATCACTGAAAATTTTTCAACATCTGATCACAAATCCTTAAAGTTCAATCTTTCCTTATGCACTATGCGTATTCCAAAAAAGAAGATATATATAAGAAAAGTAACAGAAAAAGGTTTCTCCAAGTTAAACATAGAGCTAACACAACTTGATTTTATAAAATATATGTCTGACAAATATGCAATCAATGAAAAATATAATTCTTTTACTGAAATACTATATTTTTATTATGATAAATTCATACCACTTAGGACTATAAATACCATAATTAAAAACGAATATCCACAAAAAATCCGATCTCTGAATCAAGAAAAACTAAAATTACACAAAACCTTGAAGGAATCTCCTAATTCTAATCTAGCAACAAAATATAAAATTATCTCACGACAACTTAAAATTCAATTACAAAAATTTCATTATAATAAGGAGAACACCATTATATCAAAAGGTGCAAATGCAATTCACAAATTTATTAAAAAGAAACTTAAAACAAACGCATGTATTGACGCATTAATAGATAAAAAAGGAAATATACTTACAAAAGATCAGGAAAAATGTGAGTTACTTGCAGAAAGTTTTCAAAGTAACTTCACTGATAAAGAAACTCAAAGTCAAGAATTTATTGACGTCTACTCTCAAAATCCTAACTCTAATTCACAAAATCTTATCAAAGATATAAACTTTGATATTCTGCAAATTCTAGATTTACTTAAAAGACTTCCAAATAGAAATTCAACATCACCAGATCAAATACCCTATATATTATTAAAGAGATCGTGTGATCAAATCGCACAATATATTACAGAAATCTTTAGACTAATATTAGATAGTAAAAATATACCCGACATTTGGAAAACATCAATTATAGTACCTATACATAAAAAAGGAATAACAACAGATCCAGAAAATTATAGGCCAATTTCCCTAACTTGTACATTATGTAGAGTTTTTGAAAGAATCATAGCTAATAATATTATAGAATTTTTACATAATAAGGATTTTTTTGATAAAAATCAATTTGGTTTCCTCAAATCAAGATCTACTACTACACAACTTCTAACAATGTTAGAAGATTTTTACAATGCAGTAGGTAACAATCAGAATATAGATGTAATTTATATCGACTTAAAAAAAGCTTTTGACACAGTTCCAATAAATTTATTACTTACAAAAGTTAAAAATGCTGGTATATCTGGAAAAATTTTTGAATTCATAAAGCATTTTGTAACAGGACGATCCTACCGTGTAAAAATAAATGACTCGTTTTCAAGATCTTTTCATACATATTCAGGTGTTCCCCAGGGCAGTGTTTTGGGACCTATTTTATTCACAATCTTTATTAATGATTTCCCTGTCAACCTTCCAAAAGAAATAGGCTATAAAATATATGCAGATGATATAAAGCTTTATATTTCACATAATAATGATTCTAATATTAATTATCTTAATGAATCAATAACAATATTACAAAATTGGGTTATATCAAACTTTTTAGAAATATCAATTAAGAAATGTGTAATACTTTATATAGGAAAAGGAAACCTTAAACAGGAATATAAAATATTTAATCAAACATTAAACACATCAGATTGCGTACGAGACTTAGGTATCCTAATTGATAACAACTTAAAATTTAACAAACATATTGATAAAATAGTTAAAAATTCATACTTTATAACTTATCAAATACTAAGAATATTAAAAACTAGAGAATTTAAGACTTTAATAAATGTATATAAATCTTATATTCGTCCTCAACTTGAATATGCCACTGAAATTTGGAACCCAAACAGAATTCTTCAAATTAATAAAATAGAGCGAGTACAAAAATATTTTACAAGAAGAGCATTAAAAATCACAGGAATAACGCCACTACCTTATGAACAAAGACTTAACAAATTCAAACTAAAACAACTAAGCCATCGAAGAAAAGTAGCCGATCTTGTAATGGCGCACAAAATTATTTCAAAACAGACGCATCTAGACCCACAAAAATACTTTGATTTTGCAGTAAAAGCTAAAAGGAAAATATTTTGTTTAAGGAACAAAAAGTTTAACGGTAAAACTAGAAATAATTTTTTTAATAGAATCATAAATAACTGGAATAGCTTACCTAATGAAATTTTACAAACATATAATTCGCAAAAATTTAGAGTACTTGTTAATAACTTTATAAAATAGAGGTTTTAGTTCGCAACTCCCTTATCCTCCTAGATTGACATTTTTTTATAAATTTATTATGACATTTTCTTATAGTATTTTAAAAATTTATTTTTTATTTTACCACTATAATTGTACTTTTTTATGTACTTTGTGGTTTACTCAATAAATTAAATTAAATTAAGTGCCTCAAGCTTTGAGGCACACCTCCAACAAAAAAGAACGAATTTCCTAGCCATTTTAATCGTGGAGTGAATTGTAGAACTTTTTGATCAAAAATATCATCAACAATTAGACGGATCTTTAAAAAAAATTAATTTTAAATTAAATTATCAAAGAAAATGAAAGAAAAAAATTTAAAAAAATGCCTAGAATGGCCACAGCAAATAAGAGTTTTAAAAAAGTTTCAAAAAGTTTTTAAAAGTTAAAAGTGCTCCTTAAAAGAATTTTTTGATTTTTAATACTGCATTACAAAAACGGAAACAGAAAAATATTTTTTCGTGAATTGCCGGCAGACCTACCGAAATGACAGCACCTTTAAATCCAGGCTAGAATTTAAGATTTAGAAATTTATATATTTTAGAGGAAATGCTTTTTC